AATAGCACAGGCAAAGTGCGGCTTTCTAAAGCCGCACCAAAAAAAAAGACACCGCGGCGGGATCACATAGCTCCCCTGAGCCGCCGCGCACTTCCTCCCCGGCACGATCAGATGCCGGGGGGGGAGCCACTGAAGAAAGAGCGCGACAGCCGAACTGCGCATGTGTGCGCATGCGCAGTTCGGCAGGGAGCCTGGGTTGATCCGGACGATGGGCGCGGCAGCGATCCCACGGCCGTGGTTGTAGCGGTGCTTCAGGTAAGTCCTCCTCTGTAAGAGGTTCTTTTTTGCAGCGGGTTTTCCGGGTTTAGGGACGGATCAGGGACAGGTGCGCGCCGCTTCCCAGATGTTGCGGTGAGATCGCGCCCATTTGCTGCGCCCCCGATCCATCCCTCTCCCGGACCAAAGTCTCCCGTGTGACCGGGGCCAGTGACAATCAAAAAAGGGTAAAAAGGAGAGCTCAGATGATGATAAAGGGACTTTGGAGGCTTATCATCAGTGTGATATAGTAATTCCAGTGTTAGGCCTGAAAAGATCCGAATCCCTGCTCAGTGTAAAAATCACTAGATAACTTTGGGCCAGTCATTTTCTCTCAACCTCACCTACCTCACAGGGTTGTTGTGAGGATTAAATGGGTGAGGGGAGAACCCGGTATATTGCCCTGAATTCTTAGGAAGGGCAGAATAAAAATAATCTAATAAATAAAGATTTGAGGGAACTGAATCCAGCCAGCTTTTAGAAAATGAAAGACTGTAAACAGAGTAACATTTTGCAAATATCCATCACAGAAATCTCTTCCTTTTCAAGTTATCTGCAGCCTTGATCTTCTACATCTCTGCTTTCATATCTTGAAATATCTTTGCTTGTGACCCTCCAAATCTATTGCCTCAGCTACCTGTATTGGCAAGAGGCAATGGTTCTTTTTCTTTAAGAGATATGGAGGCAATGGGAATATGCCAATAGTGAAGGGAAATTGATTTTGTTAAGTAGCTTAAGTAGTCTGCAGAAGAAAATCACCTCCACAGAAGAAGAATTAAAACACCCAATATGCTTACATCTTGTCAGCAGTCAGGAACCCCTAGGGAACGACAACAGACAAACCCCAACTGGCCATCTGCACAGCACTTGTCTGCAGTGTCAGTCTGTGACGAGGTTCAGTTTCAGGAGTTGAGTGGTTAATTTATTTCAAAGGGGTATTTAAAATTGGTTGAAAGACTTTCCTCTGATTCCAGGTGCATGAAGCAAGATGGAGGGAGAGAGAAGAGGCTGACTCTGTTTATTCAGTGAGAAAATACCCTTTGTACATGTTCAGAGACACTGTTGTAAACAGGAGGCAGATTTGGAGCTGAAAACGTTCTGAGTGCTGAAAAGCTTTGCCTCAAAACAGGACACCCTGCAGCTTCACCAGGGAAGTTGCCGGTGCAGAGCTTGCAGGCACCTTTAGAATTCTGACACAGAGAGGTGGGTACACAAGCCAAATGACTGCTACAAGGGATCCTTAGGAAATATGGCCCCGGTCACACGGGCCAGATATCGCCGAGGGGGGAGGCGTGGCTAATTGCCCCGGCACAGTTTGATCTGCGATTACGCGATCAGTCGGGCCGGCGGCACACCACGGGTCCTTCTCTCGGCGCCAGCGGGTAAACGAAGGACCGGAGGGGAATGCCGCACGCTGGCAGGATCACACCACGGGCATCTGGAGGCAGCCCATTGCAATAAATCTACAAAGGGGACCAGCAATTTAAAGATACAACAATAATGGAAGAAATTGCTGTTAGGTTCACACAATAGCACTGTTTGCCCATTGCAAACATTTACTAGTACCTTGGAGGTACTAGTTTTTAAATGCGCATTGTCAGCGGTAAGCCACTGGTGCACTCCACTTCTCAGATGTTTGGGTGTGATCGCACCCGGATAATCCGCCCACCTTCTGTGCCTCTCCCACGGCAACTTTGCCGTGTGACCAGGGCCTATATGTCAGCAGCCATTCTGGAACTAATCCTCCCCCAGTGGCAGCTGGGCTTCAGAAGGATTCATGGATCTAAGTTTGAATCCCCACTTTGTCATGGAAACTCTCAACCTAACCTACCTCACAGGGTTCTTGTGAGGATTAATGGAAGACAGGAGACCTCTGTAAGTTGCTTTAGGCTCCCACCAGGGAGAAAGGTGGGGTACAAATGAAGTAAGTAAATGAAATCGTGGATGCACTCCCCGGAGTCCTCACTTATAGTGGTCCTCATACCTGTATTCTCCCTGTTTGTTGCATTGACTTTACAGCTCCAAAGACCTAGGGAGCCAACTTGACTTTTCCAAGCTTGACTCCTCTCAGCGGCAGCAAGACAAGCCTATGAGAGGCTGAGGAAATTCGTTTCCTATGAGATGTAAAGACACCGGCCTCCTTGTCCATCATTTCAGCTGTCATCTTGGTAACTGGGAGAGCAAGGAATAGGGCTATACCTGAAGAACCTCGTTCTCCCTGCTTAAAAGTTAAATCAAGCTCCACTATGGATGGGAGAAGGAGGAGCTTATCTCCCTTGCACATTACCAACCTTACCACTTTGGCAGAGACTACAGTTCGCCCTGATGATAGCCTTATAGAGCCATAAAAAGCCAAGACCAGAGGTCCCAAACCTTTTTGAGCCTGCAGGCACCTTTAGAATTCTGACACAGAGTGATGCGTGCAGAAACAAAATGGCTGCTGCGGGGAGGGGGGTGGAGCGAGCTACAGAATGGCTACTGCATAGGGTTGCCAGCCTCCAGGTGGGGCCTGGGGATCTCCTGCTTTTACAACTGATCTCCAGCTGGCAGAGATCAGCTCCCCTGGAGAAAATGGCTGCTTTGAAGGGTGGACTCTATGGCCTTGTACCATGCTGAGGCCCCTCCTTAAACCCCACCCTCTCCTGGATCCACCCCCAAAGTCTCCAGGTATTTTCCAACCCGGACCTGGCAACCCTATTACTGCGGCTTATCTTACATGGAACACTATGCCTGGGGAAGTGATGCTCTGTCTTGGTGCCTGGAGAGCAACAATGGGAAGGTTTCTGGAGCTCTGGCCCTGCTGGCGGACCTTCTGATGCCACTGTGTGACAGAGTGTTGGACTGGATGGGCCATTGTCCTGATTCAACATGGCTTCTCTTCTGTTCTTGTGGTAGGAGTGTATAAAGTTACGAATTATGCAAGACATCTGCTGTTACAGTCACATCTGGAATAATCATGTTCCAGCGGGACCATGTGCTCTTGTTTGGAGTTTGCCAAACATGATCTCATGATCTAGATGGCCTCCCATGCATCCCTGCAGTGCTCCAGAATCCTTCCGTCTGTAAGGAAGCTGAAGCTGGTTCCTCGATCCCTACTGTCAGATCCTGGTTCCAAATTCTTCCAGAAATGCCACTGACAGATTATCTGAGGCCCCCCGGAATGCAAACCGATGTCCTCCACCACCGCGTCAGGTCCCATTTCTCTATAGCGGCAAAAGACCTCTGGACCTGCCCCTTTCCCCCTTTACCATCCGTAACTCTCTTGTGTGCGTCAGCCGTCTTTCAACGGTCTGAATTAGCAATCTCCCCTACCCCCGCCAATGGTATCAAGGCCAATGGTTGGGGAAATCCCTGGGGATCCCTCCTCCGAGCTCCGTTAAGAGGAGGAGCAGCCGCAGCCCTGGTTTGCGTTGGGGACTGACATTCCATCGAGCCAGGTTCGTTCGCTTCCCGAGCGCGAACCAGACCGCCGCTGCGGGGGCTGGCTGGGGGTTTGCCGCAGATGGGCAGGGGGGAGCGAGAGCGCCGGGCAGGTGCCGGAGAGGAGCGGCGCGGGGCGAGCACGCGGGAGGGTATTGCGGCAGTGCGATTGCAGAGGGACGGCGGAGCGGCTGTGCGCAGACCGAGCGGAGCGGACGGCTGCAAAAGACTGCAGCGGTTTAGAAGCTCTGCAACAGCCTCGTCTCTGAAGTAGGTGGTGGGATGGGGCGGGGCAGGGTCTACGTTCTTGTTTCTTGTTCCCCCAAGCAATGCAATGCAATGCAAATTATGCAATGCAGACTTGGGCGGGCTGCGGGGCTCTTCGCAGAAGCCTCCCTTTCGCAGATGGAGGCTGCCTGAACTTGGGGAAAGAAGCCGCTCTTTTTTAGGGGGATGTTGTGGTAAAATGCTGTGACGCCTTCGTAAGTTAAGATGGGAAGGGCAAGGGGGCATCCTGAGACCGTGGGGGGGGGAGGCTGGGGTCTGGGCTTGGTGGGTGACCTTGAGGCAGTCACGCGCTTCCTCTTTCAGCCTCGCGGGATGGTTTTTGAGGATAACATGCAGGAAGGGAGAGTGATGCATGCTGCCCCCAGCCCTAAAGAGGGCAGGGCTGCAGCCTGAAAACTGAATTTCACCGGGGAGATGTGCTTACCCTGCGAGGTCACTGTGGCATGAGAAGACAATCTGAACACCTGGGATGGGGTGCCTTTTTTGGAGGCTTCTCTTGAGGTTTGTAAAGGTGCGAGACCTTGGTGGTGGCCTGCCGTGCACCATCCCTGTTGATCCAACCTCTCAGCACCAGTGCAGGTAATATGATGGGCGCTGCAGTGTAAAAAATGATGGGAACTAGAGCATACCGGTCACATTTAGCTGCAGAGTCCAGACCATCCCTATGCTGTTTGCAATGGAAGCAGAGGTTTATGCACCAGGAGCCAGGCTGGTGGAGGCAGCACAGACAGGGTGAAGGTGGAAAATATCCCTGTCACTACAAAGATCAAGTTAATTCATGCCATAGTACTTTACATGGGTGTGAAAGTTAGACAATGAAGAAAGCTGACAGGAAGAAAGTGGGTTCCTTTGAAGTGTGGTGCTGGAGGAGAGTTTTACGGATCCCGTGGACTGCCAGAATGACAAATAAGTGGTTTCTAGATCAAGTCAAGGCTGAACTCCCCCTAGAAGCTCAAATGACTAAGCGGAGGCTACCGTACTTCAGTCACATCATGAGAAGGCAAGAGTCACTGGGAAAGACGATGATGCTCGGAGAAGAGGAAGTCCCAACCAATGTTCCCTCTAAGATGTGGAGTCTTGTGAGCAGAAATTCTACATTGTGAGCTACTGGCATTAAAGCAGTGAACAAGTGACGTGGCTACTGTATAAATTAGTTTGCTCTGGAGCCATTCTTCCAGAGCTATGACAAAAATGAGTGAGCCAGAGGCTAAAAAAGAGTGAGCTAGCTCACACTAACTCAGCTTAGAGGGAACACTGGTCCCAACATGAGATGGATGGACTCCATCATGGAAGCCACGGCCTTCAGTTTGTAAGACCCGAGCAAGGCTGTTAATAATAGGACATTTTGGAGGTCATTAATTCATAGGGTCCCCATAAATCAGAAGCGACTGGATTGCACTTAAGCACACATACACATTACAAAACATCAGGAGGTTAAGAACTTCTCTGAGCTATGGGGGCTAGGAAGCTAGACTAGGATTTCTGAGTTCCAGGTTCAAATCCTGACTTTAGCACTGATTGTCACTGGCTAACCTAGGGCTGGGCATATGTTCTCAGCAGTATTCCCTCTAAGATGAGTGAGTGTGAGCTAGCTCACAGTTTTTTAGCCTCCGGCTCACACATTTTTGTCTTTGCTCAGGAAGGAGGGCTCCAGAGCAAAGTAATTTATGCAGTGGCCAAATTGCTCACTCACAACTTTAATGCCAGTAGCTCACAAAGCAGCCCCGTAGCTAAGGACTTTTCAGTCAAAGGCTCCAGGGCAAGGGCTGCAGCTGCCACAGCTTCCCTCCCTCTCCCCTCCCGCAAGGGCAGGCCTTCCCTGTGGAGCGTCCGGGACCAGCTCCCTCCCTCCCTCCCCAAGGAGCCCCAGTGCCTCTTCCTGCCGGCACAGCACCAGGGGCAGCCTCTGAAATCATTGCCTTTGTCCTTCCTTGCCAACAGGCTGACAGGCAGTCAGGGGGAGTTGGGGTAGGGGAGCTGAGGCTCAGGAAGGGGGGAGCATAAAAACTGCTAGAGGGCCGGGCCCCATGGGCCTCATGTTCGCTACAGGCCTGTCACAAAGTAGAATTTTTGCTCACAAGACTCCACAGCTTAGAGGGAGCCTTGGTTCTCAGCCTAACCTACCTCCCTTGGTGGTTGTGAGGATAAAAAGAACTATGTGAATCACTCTGGCCCCCCTTGGGGAGAAAGGTGGAGTATGACATTTGTTGTTGTTGTTCAGTCACACAGTCGAGTCAGACTCTTCGCAACCCCATGGACCAGATCACGCCAGGCCTTCGGGTCTTCCGCCGTCCTCTGAAGTTTGCTCAACTTCATGTTCGTTGCATCTATGACACTGTCTAACCATCTCATCCTTTGCCGTCCCCGTCTTCTTTGACCTTCAATCTTTCCCAGTTTGACATTTGTTACAAATCCAATTTTGCCTACAGCTCTCCCCAAAAGGGTGATGATCACTCTGGCTGTTGCTTCCTTGGGTATTGCTGCAGCTCTTTCAGCAAAAGGCAGTACTGCTCATTCAGACTAACTGTGCTTGTCTGTCTGTGACTATGAAATAAAGCTAGGGACCTCAAAACTGGTCACCAGCTTCAGGTTGATTGTGGGAGTTGCAGTGCCAAAAACGAAGGGAGTCCAGACATCCTGGCCCAGATTAGCTACAGAACATCTCTCTGCTACTTGCAGTGGAAGTGACAGCTTACTTCCTAGAAGCCAGGAACGTGGAAGTCGCACAGACAGGGAAGGTGAAGCCCATATCCTCCTTTAAAAAACAAGCATTCAGACTATTTGCAGGTTAATAGGTCTTCCTGAGGACAATCCTCATAGGCATAAAACCCTAAAGGAAGTGGCAGAGAAAGCCACTGTACTGAAAATGCTTATAATTTCAGGAGAAAAAATATGACCAAACATCACTTTGGGGGCTATCTGCAGAGCATGCAGCCACTATAAAACATTATTATGAATGCAGTGAGCGAAAAAGTTGGTGTGCAGAGTGTGTATGTGTGCTGGTACACTGACGGTTCTGTAAAGGTTGTTATGGAAAGGCATCCTGTGTGGTTAAAGCTGAAGAAGAAGCCTTCTGTTTCTGCTCTTCCTTCATACCAGGCATATCGTACTTCTGTAATAGGAACAAATTAGATTCTCCTCAGAGTCAGAGTATCATTCTAGGCAATCGCTTAGAGGACCGGAGCTGTGCCAGTGCTGGAGGGGGTGTCAAAAGAGACCAGATACACCCAAGCCTGCCTTCCCCCGTCTTTGGGACTGGCAGCCAGCACTGTGGTGGCAGATGTCTGTCCAGCATCTATCTGCGTGGCAAGCAGCCTGAGTGAGGGTGGCTTCTCCAGAGCACACGAAAGCTCATACCTTGCATAAACCTTTGTTGGTCTTAAAGATGCAACTGGATTCTAAATTTGTTCTACTGCTTCAGACCAACATGGCTTACTACCTGGATCTATTCTAGGCTCTAGGCAGCCCATTCCAGTCTGTCTTGGGGGAGCTCATTCTTCTTGCTGCATGCCCTCCAGTGGCAAACTGGGAGGCCAAAATGGTCCTGGAAAAGGACTGTCTAAGGAAATAATCTGTTACATTTAATAAACATTTCAATATCAACAAATATGAGACATGAAAAACCTCTATATGTTGGAGCTGGACCCAAGGATGCCTTCCAGCATGTGGAGGGTATCTTGTTCCCATGGAAAGGTTTGAAGTGCTTTTTCTGGATCCCACCCAATGATGCTATAGGTTGTAATAGTGTTGTTTCAGAGGAGCCAGGGGATGAAGAAGAATATGAAAAGGCCAAGGCCCAACCATATTAGACTGCCAGAGCTAGCAGTAATAGAAATGACCTAGCCATGCTCTTTTAAGTATTTTTAAGGACCATGCCTTCCCTTGCTCAGTTAGGGAAAGCATGTTTTCTAACCCATACCCTACTTAGTTAAGAAGTTAGAATAAGCTTGTCAGCAGTATTTACACTTTGCTAGCAAATATTTATGCAAGAAAAACAATTTAGTGTGAGACAAGCAAGTTAGTAGGATTCTCAAAAAGTTTTAAGAAAAAGTCTTGAAAGATGTCATAGACAGCGTTCTCTGATTGATTATCATTTGGAGCAATACTGAGTTATCAGTCAATAATTGGATAAGGCTTACTTTTCTGTAGTGAAGTAATTTTTTGCATATATAAGATGTAAGTTTTGCTTTGTTCAGGTGTGAGCTACTTGAACTCATGTAGGGATAAATGTTTTCCTTAATCATGATCAACCAAATAAAGACCAAAGCTTCTAAGAAGGAATCTGCTGTTACTTGCCTCCTTTGGACCCCTTTGGCCAAACCCAATTTTTTCTCTGTCAGGGGCCAAAAACCCTTGGGTCAGCCCTGATTCCCCTTTAAGTCTTGTATAGGATATCTTGCAATCCCACAGGGACTGCTTATCTCCTTACCCTTTGCAGGAAGAGACATTCTTGTGACACAGGGATCCCAGCCTATAAAACTCATTACAATTCACCAAAAAACTAGCAAATTAAAAAGCCCCCTTTAGCAATGGAGGAATAATTGAAATACCTTGCAGTGGACATAAAGGCAGCTTGCCAGCTCGTCTTATGTTAGTAAATACCATGTATAATGTGCAGTGATTAAATGGGGGGGGGGATTAATGTATGTTGGCAAGGGAAAAACTGTAAACAGTTTGGTGTAGTGGTTAAGAGCTGTGGACTCTAATCTGGATAA